TGGATTTTTTTTCGAAAATCAAAGTTATTTCCCATTAATAGCATTATTTGTAAGCAGCTTTTAATGTTAACATATTAATGACAGTTTGAAGAAAAAACCCTTATCCAAACAAAGGGTTCTTATTTGAAAGATTACGTAATCTCTAACCGATGATCGGTATATTCCCAGCACTGAGCACTATACAACACTGATTCACGGCCTTTTTCCCGGTTATCAAAACTCAAGAACAATCGTTGCACTTGTGATTAATTAAACCGGCTTAGTAAGGCACAACGTTTTAATCCCACTTGGTTTGGATGTGCAACTTACAAAACTTGATCGGAAATGGTTGCGGTATTTGTAAACAGTATTTAATGTAAACATATCATACGTGACAACTAGAAGTGAGAACTAATCCAAATAGCTGATCGTTATTTCATAAAATTTAACAGTAAACATTGGAAGAAAATTTGACAAAAATCGAACAAAATTGGGTTTTTATGGTTCGTTATTTTGTTTTCAAAGAAGCGGGGCCATGTTTTATAGCCAAAGAAACTCACTAATCCAGTAAATACAGAAAAATGATTTGAACCTTGGTCGGTATTCTAGTTTTCTATGAGTAGGCCGCGTAAAATGACATTTTGGCGTCACTGACAGAATGAAAGAATGACAGACAGACAGAAATTGAGATAAGACTCGTTTCGGCTTTCTTAGGCTATGAAACATAATGTAACCGGAAACTGCATGATTCTAAGCAATGTAGGCCTACAGACAAAACTGTATTTTATTTATATAGATATATGGAACGATTTAAATAAAAAAAATAAAATAAAAACAGTAGGTCCTATGTGTCGTATTTTTACGTTTCAAAGCCATTTGAAGTTGCAATCTGGCTCTGGCTGTTTTTCTAGATTTTGCCTTATCCTGTGCCTCTAATATATAAATAGGATTTCGGATGGGCACTTGGGTTTTATCTTAGCTCGAATATTATAGACCTAAAACGGGACATCGCAATCCTAAGATAATCCATGAGTCACAAGCCGGCTTGGCTACGACGCAGTGCTGGTCCGGAGGGTGGATTTGGTTCCTGGAAGACCTTAATCGTATATACCACGTATGTCAGAAAATGCTTTTGTTCCACTGGACCTTGTTTTAATTTTGGGAAATAGTTTGTATCAAACCGTGTATTTCAGCAGCTATCTTTATACAGCTAAGTCCGTAATTAATGTACTAAGTATGACCAAAAGAGACGTTTATTCTAACGGAACTTGTTTTATATTGATGAATAGTTTTATCAAACCGGGTGTTGTAGAACTACAGTGTTTTATCTCTGATGACAGTAATATTTTAATACATACGGTAAATACACAGTCCAAAAATATTAGATTCTTAGATTCCTGTGAATTAAATATCATCATTTCCTTGGCATTATAACACATCAGGGATGTAACGACATAACGTTATTTATTTATTTAAACAGATCTGTGGCCAGTTTAAATGAATTGTATTTGGCGCGGTTGAAAACGTGCTCTGCAGTCCACAATCGACTGTGCTGCCATCGGCCGGGACATCGTCGAACTAGTACTCAGTCGGCAAGCAAGGCTTTTTTGCAAGCTTTTACAAAAAAATACAAAACTTAATGTTAACCATCGAAAAATAAATATCTGTCACACTCAATACACTAATGAATATATGCTCTTCAATATGGCGTTTGAACCAGAATTGTTATAGTGCCAGTCATTTTATATTTTAGCAGAAAGTATTGCAATTCCTTATGGAAATGTAAGAAATGATTTATTTTATTTCTGGCTTATAATTAAACATTATGATTTTTATATTGTACAGTCTTAATCCTACATACATTTACAATGTTTTGAGTGTGGGAAATAATTTTTGGATCACAGATAGACCAGAAAACGAGGAATTATTATATGCGCTCCATGTTAAAGTGACGGCCAGTGTCGGCAGCCGAGAATCTCTGTCCGACCGCCTCTTAAGCCAACATTGCATGCTCTCAGCTTAAATAGAAGTCAGTCATTGTGCCTGAGGAAATAAAAACGACCTTTTGCGATTAAAATT